TATGTATGTATGCATCATAATTATTTACGTATTTTTACAGCATTGCCGCAATACGATTTGGAGTTATCTCAATTAATGTAATAGTAATTACTGTGTCTGTGTCTAATCTTGATATCTCTTGATTAAAATCAGGAAGATTATCTGTCCTGTCTAGACTATCATATTTTAATGACAAAATAGTGACATGCCTGAATATGGTCTTGATGACATCACATGATCACCATATATAGACACATCATGACTATATATGGACATACAACAGTCTGTGTCACATAAAATTTGATAGTTTTAGTTTTGACAGGACTTTACAACAGGATTTGTACTGTGTTGTCAAGTTCATAGATGTACCGTAAATAAAACCATAAATGCAAGGAACATGCAAATGAACTTAAGTATGCACAGTAGTAAGATCATTTGTGGTGAGCATAAAAGCATTTATTTGTTATTTGGTTTTACAATATGGATTTACGAGGAATGTAAGTTAAATAAAAAATAATAGAGTATTATGAGTATATCGTTTTGAAGCTTATGCATGATTGGATTTCAATTGAATGTTCTGGACGTGCCGGGAACTAAAACACCTGATCGACACACACTGTCTAGATGTCTGAACAGACAATTAAATTGTATAAAAAAAACTGTTGTGTCCATGTTACTCATGATGTTCCTATAGGCCTATATGGTCATGATGTGATGTCATTAAGATCATACTCAGGCATGTCACATGTGTTTAGTCCGCACAGAGTTTTACAAATAGTGACGCAAATACATACATATGCGCCCTAATGCAGCGGTCCGTAGGGCCTGCGACCCCTGGGGGGCCCGAAGGAGCCCTATCCATTATATCCAGTGGCGGATTAAAGGGAGGGGTCCTGTCGGGGCCCCCTTCAAGTCTGTCAAAAAAATTTTTAAAAATGGAGATAAAAAGGAAAATTATGTTCGCAATGTTAAGTCTGCGAGTGCCATTTCCGGCCATCTAGTCCTGCCATAATCAAACATTTGTTAATCAGCCCCACCAGAGCAAAGGCACAATGTGTCTCTCAAATCGACTGTAGGACATATAGGCCTATCATACTCTAGTGTCGGAATAAAGAGTGGGGGAGCTGTCTGCCCGGGGCCCCCGGGCAGACAGAATTTGTCAAAATATTTTTTAACTGGGGATAAAAAAATTATATTCACAATTTCATGCCTGTGAGTGCCATATCCAGACATCCAGAGGTGCCATAATCATAAATTTTCTTGCCTCAGCCTCAACCATGGTCGGGCTGAGGTGGTATGGACTCTCCATCTGTGAAAGTCCCTCCCTGGCACCTTTATTTCAAATACATGGATACGCCACTGATACTATATCATGTGTTTGTCGTTAAAAACATTTTGAACTACAATGCAAAACTTTCGTAATCTTTTTAGTTTTTTTAATGTACCTTCGTCGACAAGTCAGCATACCAACAAAAGTATTGTACCTGGAGTATTGAAGAGGCTTTTAAAAGATGTAAACTTTTAAACTTGTTTTGTTTTACATAGGTTGAACTTCAGTACAGGATTGGTTGGGCTAGAGTTTCTACTGAGGGCGGAACGTGTGATGCCCAGCTTATTCAGGACGGTACAGAATTCAGGGGTCGAAAAATTAAATGTGAGGGCGATTCATGTACGACGTATGACGAACTAGGTCGCACCACTGAAGCCTGTACCGATGTTAGTATACGTGATAACTGGATGTCTGGCCAAGGGTCCTCATCGTGGACATTTCCTATCAACAACGATTATGCATATGGGTAAGCAAACATCATCATTTGGTAATTTAATGAGTTTAGTTTTGAAGGTAACCATGTGCCAGTGGTACGTATTCCACCCCCCCCCCCCGTCCTGCCTTCCTGATCCCAATTCAGGGGGCGTGGGCTAGTTTCGGCCTGTGGTGGGGATGGTGGAGCAAAAAATCCTCCAATGAAACTTAATGGTAATTTTTAGTATTTTTTAAACCATACAGTGGGACTACTTTGCTGTCATGTGACAGGGGCCACAATGGCAAACCTGAATACGGTCTTGATGAAAACCATCCCGCCTAACAAAATTTCACGTTGTTAGATTTTGAAAAGTATTTACGGAATAGGAATATAGGCCCAGTTACGAAATGTCATGGGGTAGGGGTCCGCAACCCCCCACCCCTCCCACCTTCAACCGCCCGCCGCTTGACTTGGCAATCTTAATGAACCATCCCTCTAATTACGGAATCGGAAAGTATGCCCAACTACGAAATGTGAGAGATGTTATTAATATACAGACATTTGAAATGACACATTGACACTTGATGAATTATTTTCGAGTGAATGAGTAACAACGCTACCGGTATCTGATTGTAAGTTTGAAAGGAGACGTCGCAGCCAATCTTTTACTCCGTGACAGACCAGCAAATAAATATAATGTCTATAGTGACATAAATTCAGGAGCCAATCCTTTTACAAATAATTGGAATAAAGAAATTTATAAACCATCGGTGTATGCTCTAAATAAAGTATGTCTACTTAACAATACCGAGGCTTCGAATTCTATGTTGGCAAACAAAGTGAATAAAAACATACATTATTTTAGATTAGAATAGAGTGAACCGAGGAAAAAACATGCTGACAATATTATAACGGGACAACTAGCAAACAACTTTTGGAAATTTTTTAAATATAGTATAATGCAATATTACAATAGAAAATCTAATCTAGAAAAAAAATTAGAATTACAAAATCCATAACCAATAATATAATATACTGTAATATAAAATAAAATAAAATAAAATTTTGGAAACTTGGACAAAAATCATAAGCGTTCAAATTTCATGAGTCGATGTCTGAATCGCTAAAAGAACATTGTAAATTCTGTCAAATTATATTGTATTGTTCACCCTTTATTATATAACCCACAGTTCTGCCGACAAGCGACCTTGGGTCCCGGGTGTAGCCTGCCTGGGCCCATTGGCTGGGGCTGGGGATTGTAGACCAGTTCATGAACAATAAAGCATGGAAACATGAACAGTAAAAGCTATCTTTCCTTTTATTCCAGCGTCGTTTATTCATTTCATTTTTTTAAATACATTTTTGCAACATAGCAGCCCGGGCTCCTGTCGCGAGCCCGAGCCACGGGGCACTTTCCCCGTCTGCCCCGGCCCTTTGGCGCCACTGACAAACTGTATGGTTAATTTAAATATTGGGAAAATCCTAAGATTGTATATTAATTGTCATTATGTAATTTCCTAAATATTCACCTTTTCTTGGTTGAAGGATTCAAATTATCCTTTAATACTTTCATTCAGTAATTTCCTAAATTCAAGTAGAGCAAAGGGTAGATTGACAGTAATAATAACTGGTGGTGTAAGTGTGCACGTGGAACTATGGAGATATTTTTTGTTACCGGTTGTGCAATCCTTACCGGTTGTAATCCTGTGCAATAGGCCTACATGACCTTACACATTGTTTTTCAGAAGGGACGTTTTGTGTCGGTCACACAGTGAACACGACCAAGTTAAAGTACTAAAAATAGGACCGATTACTGTACATTCAAACAATTTACTTCCCATGTTGAATAAAATATTCAAAAATACACACACACACACACCCCCCACACACACCCACATACACACTCACACATACACACACAACATCTCATTCATACTGTAATTCAATCATTAATAATGGCAACTGTAATTTGTAGAATTACAGTGAGTACTGCTTGGCCGGAGAATGTGGGAACTGTGGATAGACAGGCAGTAGCTGCATTCAGCATGGATCTCGTGATGAGAGGTGACACTGTAAACTCTTCACCGAAGACTACTATGCTTACCCTATTGAAACTAAGGCAATCATGCGAAACAGTTATTCGTATTCCAGGTAAGTTCATTATAACTGAAATGTACAAACTTCCCCAATATATATGTAGGCTTACACCAAATTATCATTATCATATCATCTTCATCATTATCCTCATCTTTATCATCATCATCATCATTATCATCGTCACCATCATCGTCAGCGTCATCATGATTGATAATCAATAACTGATGTTTCTAAAAATTCATTCACCCACAGTGTATGACGCGGATGGTGATGATGTCCAATGCAGAAGAGCTACTGGACAGGACGAATGTGGCAGTGTGTGTGACAGTCTGACTGATGCCACAATAAGTTCGGTGAGTATGTTACGGTGCTTCCTATTGCTTCCGACGCGGTGGGACGAAAAACGAAATGACGTCACAAAGAAGTCACCTGCGCATTGAGAACATTAGATTCTCCTCGTGGCGTGGATTGTAGGATGCATTTTGACTAATTCTACCATAGAATGCTCCCTAATAAAGCCATCCATTATTTTCCTATCGGTCAAATTCAAAATTACATACATGACATCCTTGCACTGCTTAATCTTAATTTCAATACACTCATTACACGATGAGTCACCGAGAGCTTTCGTACGAATTGTGGAGCCTTCCACACCTCCCCTATTGCGTCGTGGACTGCCACCCAGTGCTGTAGCGAAAGTGTAGCTCCCTGGTTCAACTGACCAATCAGCGTCGCCAAAGGCGTCGGCGATATCGTGTAGCGATTTTCATGGAAACTAGGCTTTACTAAAGCTTGGTTTCCATACAATCGCTACACGCTCCATCACCGACAGCTTTCAGTGATGCTGATTGGTCGGTCGAATCGGGGAGCCGTCCCGATTGCGTCGGTTTTGGGAACTACGTAACTACGCAGTACAGCGATTGCACTGAAAATACTGTAGCGATTTTAAGGAAACCTGCAGGATTTTGACTTATTGATAGATAGGCCCTCCAAGCTTTACGTGAAAATATTATGTAACATGTAGGATCAAATGAAATATTGTTAATGATAAACAGTTCTTGTTTTCCACATACTATTAATAGATTAATTGATTATTGATATTGATTTTAAAGCAGCTTAACTTAGTCAGCTAAACTGGTGGTAACCATTGTATGCGCGCTACCCATTGGAGATATCTTGGTTCCCGTTGCAATTCCCATCGCTGCACTCCATGTTTTTCAGTTGGAGGGGACGTGTCAAAAACACACCGTCTTCGGATGAGACGTTTAAGCCGCCTGGTCCCGTGTGCATTATGACCCTCTTCATAAAGTTAAGGAAGCCTCTCCTGGTGTTGCCCAGTGACCATAAAACGTACAGAACATACACTGTTGCATCAACGAGACTTCTTGACTAAATACCAAGAATTTACTGTACAGTAGGCCTATGTTGCGTACTCTGGTTCTAATTTTTATTTATTTATATTTTTTTGACCAGGATTGTGTTCTTACGTTCACACCACCGGATGTTGGTCGTCTGGCATATGCGGTGACATTGATAGTAGAAGATTACTCAGCCGGGGTAGCGCTAAGTAGAATCCCTCTGCAATTCCTAATTAACGTTTTTGAACCTACCGTAAATGATAATTGTAATGATAAGCCAACATTCATTGATGATACACCCCTTGATCAATCTGAATATGGAGTTATTACTGATGGCACTCTGACTTTGAAAATAACGGCAATGAGCTCAGCAGACGGCGCAACGTAAGTATATTATCTTAAAATTCGATTTTTAATAGCACACTTCAGACCGCAGCAAATCCACTATGGGCATTTTCGCCAAGGCCCTAGGGTCACTCATATGACATTTAAGTCTTGTTGCGTAAACATGCGTCTATTTCTCAAGTTTATTTTATAGTAAAGTAACATAATAGTTTTTATCAACGGAAAAAAGACACAAATTTAGAGAACTTTGCAAATATTTTTATTTAATTTGAATTCAACAACTCTCATAGGCCTACACATGGGGTTTGAAAAACAGTGTTTGGACATTTGATGTTATTCTTAGTTGTTCGAGGGAAAAACCTGTCGTTTCGGTGTTAAAACATAATATAAATGTGTTGGCGTGGTCAATCAATACTGAATAACGTATTCTAATGTTTATTTTTCAATACAGTATTGTGGCAATTGATACAACGTCTCCATTAAGAATGTTCAAATCAGAACTTATGACTACGGAAAACACTCAGATTTCTTACGTCGACATCACATACACACCTACTAGCAACAACTCTGTTGAACAATTTTGTTTCACTGCGGAGGACAGCTACGGGTAAATAGGCCTACATTATTATCTTTTTATATCAGTCTGTTTTAGCACGAAATTAGAAGCATTTTAGGCCTACTCGACAATCGGACGTAGAGTCTATAACGTTTTCAGCTCCGAGGAGGAGCTATAAAAACAGTCGGCTGATTGATTTAATAGATCTCTTTTTTTTTTTTTTTTTTGTATGGGCGGCCGTTTAGCTCTGATGAGGAGGCCTAGAAACACTCTGCTTGTTGATCTATAGATTTTGCATGTTCGACCACTAGGGCCAATATACTTTACTGTCCCTAGTATACTGCCCTCCCGATGAGGAGCTCTAGAAATACTCTGCTGATTGATAGAATAAATCTTTATGAAAGGACGGCCGTTAAGGCAAATGTACTCTACAGCCTCTATTTACTACCCTCTTCGGAGGTCATGGATGGGTGTATCCGTTCCAGATTTACTTCTCCAAAGTAGGGTTCAATTTGTTTAGGCCGAATCCCTTTCCAAACAATCATCCCCCAGGGACGGATCCAGAGATATCCAAAAGGTGGGTGGGGGAGGGGAATTTGGGCCGATCAAGACAACACTGAACTAGGGGGTCCCCGGGGCATTCCCCCGAGAAATTTTTGTGTTCTAGACGCCTGAAAATAACATTTGAGGCGTTCTGGGCTACCTTCTTTATTCTTTTTCCTGTTTTTTTTTGGGCCACCCCACTAAATCCTCCCCTGTCCTTCTTAATAAAATATCAGCAAAATTATGATTAAATTTACAATTTACGTACCTCAAGGCGTCCGCTTCAATGGTTTCGGTTCGAGTTTTTCAATTTTATAATGACTTGATCAAACTTCTTATTACTCTATTTTAATATTTTGATAACGTAAAACAAGATTCAATGTTCTGACAAAGTTCTAACTTAGAAAATGTAGCCAAGGCTCTATGCAGATTGAGTGGTGCATCAATCAACGGACACAGGCTAGATTAGTCCTCCATGTCGAAAAGGTAGGCCTATCCCAGAAGTGCAAAACAGACTTGTATTTTTCCATATGAGTAATATTTCTGGCTTTTGTTTTTGTAGACTTACAGCAAATTTGCGTTGCTTAACTGTTTTTACTGGAGGTACGTATTGTTGACATGTGTTATAACTGATATTAATTTAATAGTTATGTTGTTGGTAAGCTGTTGATATGTTTTTAAAAAGTTCCGTACCATAGACGCCTTACTATAATAAGCCGTTTCGTAGTCTGAACTGCGCATGCCCATATCAAGGTCAAGCGACAAAAAACAAACATACACCACATACACATAGCATAGGTTTATATCGATTGACCTTGGATATGGGCATGCGCAGTTCAGACTACGAAATGGCCTATTATATTGATGATAAATTGGAAGACAAAGCTGTAGATTACATGGCGTAACTAATTGTATTCGCAAAGTTATGACGTAACCACAAACATTTCATTATTAAACCTTGTTCATGTGAATAATACTGGGAATAATGTTAGGTCTAATGTAAATGGACCTTTCCGCTAAGCCGCCCATTGGCCTCGGTGGTCCCACATAAAGATAAAGTAAACATGCGTAAGCACTTGCGTTTGTGGGACGCACGTGTATTTGTAGGAGGACAATTGCTTAATCTTAGCGATGTTCTGATTGGTCAATTACTAAATTTGATTGACACTTCAGAAACATCCATTGACTGCCTATTTTTTCCTTTTCACCAGCCAAAAGTTTAGGGATAAATATTGACTCATTGGTTCCTCCAAGTGGATCGCAGATAACACTGTCTAATGACATCACATTCGTCAACTTTAGTGTGCAGTTTGATTCAACGGTATGGTCATTTGAGTTAAATTAATTGTAGGCTTACATTTTATTCAATTCCAATAAAAGTTATTTCATGATTATAGTTATAAGTGAGCCCGAAAAATGTACGCAAAGTATATGCAAATAACAAAATAATTCATTTATTATAATAACTGGTAACACGTTTCACTTATCAACATAAAACACAAAATCTACATAAACTAATCCTCATTTATGAGGCTTAGGGAGAAATATTCACTCTATGTAAAAATATGAATCACTACAATTCAACAAGTGGAAAATTAATAATATAAAATATATACATTTTTATACACGTGTCTCAGAGCGCTTTTCCATATTATTACCCCAGTCATTGGAACGATGCCTATGGGAGTAATTTCGTAGTTACCCTTGTGAATTTGCACTCAAACCCCTTTGGGTACCCATTTATACTCCAGGGTGGTGGAGAGGAGCGACGCAGGTTTATGCCTTGCTGAAGGACACGAGCGAAATGCACAGCGAGGGATTAAAACACCGACCTTGAGTTTGGGAAACCGTTCCCGTTGCGCCAAGCCCCTTCCAAGAAAAAAAACCCCAAAACCAAAGAATCATATACTGTTTTGTTTATATCGATTAACAGTTAATATTATATCAATTAACAGGTTAACAGACCCTATTCGACAGCGTTTATTCGTTTCTTTAACGAAAGCAACAATCAGGAGGTACTGGCTATAGATACATCGACTTCAAGCGATGTATCGTTTGATGGAAACAACACAGTACGTTTTAAGGTAGCGTCGTCAACACTCGCGTTTGGTAGTTATTATATCCTGATGGACTCTGGGACAGTAATGAACCTATTGAATCCATTTGTTGGATTCAGTGACACCAGCTTCTGGACGTTCCAAATCTTAGGTAAGGCAGAGCATTGTTGATTTTTTGCAATCTGACATAAGCAGAAAATGTATATTACGATATCAACCGTCGATCGCTTTAGGCCTACTCTACAATGGTTGACCTTGAGTAGTTACTCTACAGTGGACAACCTCAAGTAGGCCTGGTTACATACAGTGGGAAACCTCCAATAGTTACACCCGGTAACCTCCTCCAGTAGTTACACCTGGTAGCCTCCTCTCATAGTTACACTAAATTCGTCAAACTCCTGGTACAATAGTTACACTCCATTCGGCAACCTCCTGGTGCAGTAGTTACACTAAAACAGTGGGCATCCTCAGGCCTGCAGTAGTTATACTACGGTGGGTAACCTGGTGGTGAATTCCAGTAGTTACACTAAAGTGGGAAACCTCCAGTAGTTATACTACGGTGAGTAACGTAGCTACACTACGGTGCATAACCAGGTAATCTCCAGTAGTACACTACAGTCGGCAACCTCCAGTAGTGAAAACCTCCAGTACACTATTGGGTAACCTGGTAACCTATAGTAGCTAATCATTTGACCGTATTTACTGGGTTGAGAGGGTAGTAGTAGTACAATACAGCCTCCAGCTCACCAAGGGCTATATTTTGAACTTTGAACTATGACCCGATTAAAATCCAGTCAATTCGTTTATATAGGGTCTGTGGTTTTTATATACCACTACATGACTGTCATTAGAGGGCATGGCTGGAACTATTTCTCAGTTTTTAACCAATCAATGCCTGGAATCTACACAGTCAGTATAAAAAATGTAATAGGCTATTCTGAACTAAGAAATAATGAAATAAACTTTATTTAAACAAATAAACTTTCATGTCAATCACAGATCCTGGATCTTCGTGTGCTATAAACCCGTGTATGAATGGTGGGACTTGCTCAGACGACGAAGACAGCTTTCAGTGCGAATGTCCGTTCTCTTGGACGGGAGAGACTTGCGAAACAGGTTGGTTACGTCATTATAATACGGAGCTTTCGATTTGTGCGATGACGTGACGCCAGAACGAAATCACTCATGCATGACCGTCCTACTTGGCGTCCTACGTTCTCTGCATACGTAAATTTGGCCAAATTGCGTTCCAGAATCTACTCGACGAGGTGACCTTAACGTTTTCGCATGCGCAGATGACTTATAGTGACGTCATTACGTTCTACGTTATACAGCCGTCGTACAATCGAAAGCACCCTAATGATAAAAATAGACATTTCCTTTCACGAGGCCTATAATATAAAACTTTATTTCATCTCGAAAATAAAAGTACAAAAGTCCAAATAAACTTGTTCGATTAAAATAATCGTTCTTTCACAAGATCGAGAAAAATTACATATAAAAACATTTAAAATATCAAAGCATTAAAAAATTCAAATGCCCAGTCCCTGAATATTGTATGCTAAGGTCCCACAAAACAATGTAAGCACGTGCGTTGAAAATCGCGTATTCCTGGCCCTGTTCTGATTGGTCAATTATTAAGTTTGATTGACACTACGGAAAGGTCTATTAAACTATGTGGCCCTTGGCCACGCCCACTCACACTCTCGTCGTTGATCTGCCCGACCCCTTCCTTTTCGGGGACTCTCCGTCTTACAAATCTTGGTCACACTTGTCTGACATGAGGGAGTTACCTGCATTTATGATTTTACTTTATTCCTCAGCCCATCAATTTTGTCGAGTGTACGGCACAAGTCATGTTATGCCATTCGAAGGCGAAACCTACAGCCTCAACAACCCATGCCAATACACTCTGTTGGCTAGTAACTGTACAGGAATAACAGATCCCGAAAACTCGTATAAAATAACAGGAATTCATGAAGAAGAAAACGAATATACTGCGTCATTATCAAGTGTTATAATTGAAGTCCTGGGAATGGTAAGTAATCACTGAATACACATTGGCCTTAAAGATATAGGGCCTAAATAAGCATATAGGCCTACTAACACAATGAAACAAATAGAAATAAAATTATAAATAATATAAGCACATTGATAATATTAATAGCAATGTTGAAATATAGAAATATTTAATCGTGTCAAGCATACGACTATGCATCAACACAATTTGAATATTATATTACAGTATACCCCCTCCTCTGAGACACCCCTATTAAGGGGTTTTCGGGCACAAACGAGGGAAAGATATCTTTCAATACTATGGTAAACCTAAAGGGACACCCTTATGAAGTGACCTTTTTTTTAAGTCCTGAAGGTGTCCCCTTAATAAGGGTTCTACTGTATAGGTTTATTTTATCGATTTTAATTAAATTCAATTTTGAATGGCCTACCATCTGTATTTTTGTAAGATGGGAGTTTTAATTTAAAATATTAGAATGATTAAAAATAAATTATTCGTAAATTAATGCTGCAATGGTAGCCATTACTGTGATGTACCGCCCTCTCAAAATATTGTTGAAATTGATACATAATAATAAATATATTCCTACTTTGCTATCATTCGCCACTATTTCTAACCCTGTTATTATACTCCTACACTTTTGGAGTCCTTAGGAGGTTCGCTTTACCCACCAGAACCAGAACCGCTCTTACTTTTTTACATAGATTCTTAAATTGGTATATATCTAATTTAGTGAGTATAGTAGTGTAAAACGCCTGTAAAATTAAAGAAAAACCGAAAATAAGATTAATTAAATTATTTAATAACTTTAAATGAGAAATATCATTATTTTATTGAGTTTTTGACGGAAATGTACATTTTAATTTGATTATTGACTTACAAACACTTTTGATTGGTCAAAACTTGTCGTAGCTTCTCATTGGATAGAATTGTTCTCTAATGTTTTTTTAGACGATCCAATTTTATCGAGACTTATCGCTAAGCATTAACAATAGGTCATCGGCAACTCCGGCTTCACCAGTCGATGGTTTACAGATAAACAACAACGGTGGAAATTTGGTAAGTATGGCGACATATATATGTATCGTCGTTAGTATTTATCTATTTCGTGAATACCTACCTGAATAAAACAATATAGGCCTTCTATATCATATTCATAATGGCTCTTACCCTCGACAATTAATGGAATTGTCTACATCGACGCTTTGGTTACGTAACAGCTTGGTACCATATCGGCTATGTGCGAGGGGGAGAGGAGAAAGTATCTCTCACTCCCTCACTTAAATCACCAACAACACGGCCTCTAATTTGCATGATATAAAAGAACTTCTATCCCAATACTTTATTCGCATTTTTTGATTAATTATTGTAAGCAGAGAGCTTGGGCGCCGTTGTAGCCTAGGCCCTAAGCCTAAAGAAAGTTGGCCTACAAGAAGTCTATGCTAGCAAGGCTTGGCCAGAGCAGTAGAGAGGCCTGCCCTGGGCAGTATGCTTCACGGCGGTACAGGTTAACCAAACGAGGTAGGCCTACCTCTTTTTTTGTTACAGCCGAAACTCTTCGGTGTACACGGCAAAAATAGAACGTTGCTCATTTGTTTTGTGATCGTATATCTTCCATAATGTTATCTAATCAAACAATCAAACCCAAATTATCGACCGCCCAACTTCAGAATTCTTCCATGTTAAAATGATATACCTAGGCCTTAAAATAGGCCTATGAGTGGCATGTGTAGGACTATTCCCTTAAGTTCGACACCATAGTGTATGAAATAAATATTGTACAACCCATGCTTCCCAAAATGGTTGGTCAAACTTTCGCATTGGATGCAAGCACACAAATTTAGGTTTAAGTTCATCAAATATATAATTCAAAATTCGAAAATATTTTCTGCAAAAAAGTCGATTATATTTATATTTCAAATATTAAAAGTTGTCTCTTTTTCCAGTGGCGGATTCAAGGCTTCCCTCTATCGCCCCCATCCTCAAATAAAAAAAAAAAATATGAAGAAAAAAAGTAAAATTTTATTCTAATTCAATGTGAGAGTGCCATTTTCGTCATCCAAGGGTACTTTAACCATGGTGGGGTTGAGGTGGATGAATGCAATCTGTGTAAAGTCCTCTCTGGGCCCTTATGAATCCTGTATCCGCCACGTTTCTCAAAGGGACGATCAGTAGTAAACAAAAATCGCTATAATACTAATATCAAGTAGTCATTTTTAAAACATAAAGTATCACATTTTAGGGATCTTATAAAGTCAATGTGCATTTTATTATGACATTTAATATCATGGGTTACGGCTTGTCTAGGAAATAACACATTGGGTCGCAGAGAAAAAAGTTTGGGAAGCGAGGCTGTATACTGCTAGTACTTTCTGGACTAATTTAATTATTTATTTTATTTCATCATCATCCATCAAACAGTGACCAATATCATTATCACTTTTTACCATAAGTGCAAACAACCTTTCACCAGCAATCTACATGCTGGCATAGTCAAAATTGCTTATTCATTTCATAATGCTGTAGTTTATACTTTATATTTTCCAGTATATAATGCAACAATGTTATGTATCAGGTCTCAATTTTCCTTTCACTCTGTTTTAGATTTTATACACAAACTTCAGCTTAATCGTGGTATTAAGCCAGGAGGGAAATCTACTGCTGTCAGTTGATGATGGCAGCACAGCAGAAGTGTGTGGTCTATGTCGACCATACAACGGCTCAAACTATGTTGCATCCAGTGGAATGGTAAGTTCAAGTTAAAAGTGCGATAACACCACTGAAGTGCACACTGCAAAACAGTGAAAGCAATGGATAATTTACTGTTTACCGTTGAATTTTTAGTCTACCTTAGGAATGCTAAAATTATTATTTATTATTACAGTATTTTTGTTAATACTTAAAAACAAGCTTTTTGGTATCATGTGGCATATGCTATTGCTACAAATCTCAGTTGATGGTATTTGGTTGTAAGAAGAACCATTTGAATTATAATGTCCCAAAGTTTTAATTAGTGTACTTTAACTGTCTGCAGTGGAAGAGCAATTATTATTGTTATTATTAGGTGATTATTAATGTTTCTTCAAATCTCTTAGGTGGATGATTTTGAGTTGTTTCTCGAAAGTTGGAGTGCGGAGAATTGCTCGCTATCGATGAAAAACTGTAGTGGTAATGTAGCAGATGAAGAATTATCAGCTGCATGTTCAGTGATATCAAGTGGTAAGAGAGACAGCTATTTATACATAAATAAAAAAAAGTGTCTGGCGGGATTCGTACCTGCAACCTCTTGCTATCAAGGCGAGTGTCATACCCATTAGACCACGACGACATATGGGGTATACATATTCCCAGGCACTTTCATTCATAGAACTGATTGCAACGCTCACACATAATGGAGCTATAAAAAAGCTAGAAAAGCTAGTGGGTCGCAGCTTGGAAATAGTAAATTATATTAAAATTAGGTTTGCTACGTTTCACCCTAACCACATTGTAAACAAATGGATAAATTAACAGTGCTTAAATTGGAACAAGACGTTACAGTCATATCAAGCATAGCCCTTAAACAGCTTATAGGTTGTCGCCTTGCTTGATACTGTTAACATCTTGTTCCTATTCAAGCACTGTTACGTAACCTATGCCTTAAAAATGACGGTATTAAACCGTACGGTTGTCGGCCAACTTGATTCTATGCAGAACGCAGCACAATGACGCACATGCAACAGATCGTTTTCCATAATGATCCATCCAGACAATCAGCAAACGGAATCACAGCAAGCGGAGTTGGATTCGTCATGGCGATTATCGTACGACGGGAGTGCCCAGCTTGCGGGTGTACCAAATTTTTCTATCATCTATAGCCATAAAATTTTGTACCTCAAGCTAATCATGGTTAGACTGCTGTAAAAATCATAAACAATGAAATTTATTTTACAGATGCGTTTGCGGACTGTCACTCTCTTGTACCCTTTGAACCGTTCCTGGACAGTTGTCTATATGATGTCTGCGCAAGTGGTGGAAGCACTGGAAACTGCAGCGTGATCGCAGCATACCAACAGGCATGTACGCAGTATGGTATTACAGTTGGTGAATGGAGAACTGATGGAAGCTGTGGTAAGACAGAGTTATTATATAAATTAATTAATATATTAATTAATTAGAGTTAATATATTATATTTTTTGTTGTGTTAGCTTGAAATTTGGCATTATACTCCAGGTTTCCAATTTATCAAACAATTTTAGCAAGGCTGAGGGTAACTTATAATCCTGGTTTCCAATGTATCAAGCATTTTTAGCAAGGCTGAGGGTAACTTATAATCCTGGTTTCCAATGTATCAAGCATTTTTAGCAAGGCTGAGGGTAACTTATAATCCTGGTTTCCAATGTATCAAGCATTTTTAGCAAGGCTGAGGGTAACTTATAATCCTGGTTTCCAATGTATCAAGCATTTTTAGCAAGGCTGAGGGTAACTTATAATCCTGGTTTCCAATGTATCAAGCATTTTTAGCAAGGCTGAGGGTAACTTATAATCCTGGTTTCCAATGTATCAAGCATTTTTAGCAAGGCTGAGGGTAACTTATAATCCTGGTTTCCAATGTATCAAGCATTTTTAGCAAGGCTGAGGGTAACTTATAATCCTGGTTTCCAATGTATCAAGCATTTTTAGCAAGGCTGAGGGTAACTTATAATCCTGGTTTCCAATGTATCAAGCATTTTTAGCAAGGCTGAGGGTAACTTATAATCCTGGTTTCCAATGTATCAAGCATTTTTAGCAAGGCTGAGGGTAACTTATAATCCTGGTTTCCAATGTATCAAGCATTTTTAGCAAGGCTGAGGGTAACTTATAATCCTGGTTTCCAATGTATCAAGCATTTTTAGCAAGGCTGAGGGTAACTTATAATCCTGGTTTCCAATGTATCAAGCATTTTTAGCAAGGCTGAGGGTAACTTATAATCCTGGTTTCCAATGTATCAAGCATTTTTAGCAAGGCTGAGGGTAACTTATAATCCTGGTTTCCAATGTATCAAGCATTTTTAGCAAGGCTGAGGGTAACTTATAATCCTGGTTTCCAATGTATCAAGCATTTTTAGCAAGGCTGAGGGTAACTTATAATCCTGGTTTCCAATGTATCAAGCATTTTTAGCAAGGCTGAGGGTAACTTATAATCCTGGTTTCCAATGTATCAAGCATTTTTAGCAAGGCTGAGGGTAACTTATAATCCTGGTTTCCAATGTATCAAGCATTTTTAGCAAGGCTGAGGGTAACTTATAATCCTGGTTTCCAATGTATCAAGCATTTTTAGCAAGGCTGAGGGTAACTTATAATCCTGGTTTCCAATGTATCAAGCATTTTTAGCAAGGCTGAGGGTAACTTATAATCCTGGTTTCCAATGTATCAAGCATTTTTAGCAAGGCTGAGGGTAACTTATAATCCTGGTTTCCAATGTATCAAGCATTTTTAGCAAGGCTGAGGGTAACTTATAATCCTGGTTTCCAATGTATCAAGCATTTTTAGCAAGGCTGAGGGTAACTTATAATCCTGGTTTCCAATGTATCAAGCATTTTTAGCAAGGCTGAGGGTAACTTATAATCCTGGTTTCCAATGTATCAAGCATTTTTAGCAAGGCTGAGGGTAACTTATAATCCTGGTTTCCAATGTATCAAGCATTTTTAGCAAGGCTGAGGGTAACTTATAATCCTGGTTTCCAATGTATCAAGCATTTTTAGCAAGGCTGAGGGTAACTTATAATCCTGGTTTCCAATGTATCAAGCATTTTTAGCAAGGCTGAGGGTAACTTATAATCCTGGTTTCCAATGTATCAAGCATTTTTAGCAAGGCTGAGGGTAACTTATAATCCTGGTTTCCAATGTATCAAGCATTTTTAGCAAGGCTGAGGGTAACTTATAATCCTGGTTTCCAATGTATCAAGCATTTTTAGCAAGGCTGAGGGTAACTTATAATCCTATATTGTACACCCCATGCTTCCCAAAATGGTTGGTCAAACTTTCGCTTTGGATGCAAGCACACAAATTTAGGTTTAAGTTCATCAAATATATAATTCAAAAGTCGAAAATATTTTCTGCAAAGAAGTCGATTATATTTATATTTCAAATATTAAAAGTTGTCTCTTTTTCCAGTGGCGGATTCAAGGCTTCCCTCTATCGCCCCCCATCCTCAAATAAAAAAAAAAAATATGAAGAAAAAAAGTAAAATTTTATTCTAAATCAATGTGAGAGTGCCATTTCCGTCATCTACATGTACTTTAATCATGGTGGGGTTGAGGTGGATGAATGCTATCTGTGTAAAGTCCTCTCTAAGCCCCTCTTACGAATCATGTATCCGCCACGTTTCTCAAAGGGACGATCAGTAGTAAACAAAAATCGCTATAATACTAATATCAAGTAGTCATTTTTAAAACATAAAGTATCACATTTTAGGGATCTTATAAAGTCAATGTGCATTCTATTATGACATTTAATATCATGGGTTACGGCTTGTCTAGGAAATAACACATTGGGTCGCAGAGAAAAAAGTTTGGGAAGCGAGGCTGTATACTGCTACACTGTAATTACTTTCTGGACAAATTTAATTATTTATTTTATTTCATCATCATCCAACAAACTGTGACCAATATCATTATCACTTTTTACCATAAGTGCACACAACCTTTCACCAGCAGTCTACATGCTGGCTTAGTCAAAATTGCTTATCCATTTCATAATGCTGTCTATAGATACTTTATATTTTCCAGTATATAATGCAACAATGTTATGTAACAGGCCTCAATTTTCCTTTCACTCTGTTTTAGATTTTATACACAAACTTCAGCTTAATTTTGGTATTAAGCCAGGAGGGAAATCTACTGCTGTCAGTTGATGATGACAGCACAGCAGAAGTGTGTGGTCTATGTCGACCATACAACGGCTCAAACTATGTTGCATCCAATGGAATGGTAAGTTCAAGTTGAAAGTGCGATAACACCACTGAAGTGCATACTGCAAAACAGTGAAAGCAATGGATAATTTACTGTTTACTGTTGAATTTTTAGTCTACCTTAGGAATGCTAAAATTATTATTTATTCTTACAGTATTTTTATTATTTTTGTTAATACTTAAAAACAAGCTTTTTGGTATCATGTGGCATATGCTATTGCTACAAATCTCAGTTGATGGTATTTGGTTATCAGAAGAACCATTTGAATTATAATGTCCCAAAGTTTTAATTAGTGTACTTTAACTGTCTGCAGTGGAAGAGCAATTATTATTGTTATTATTAGGTGATTATTAATGTTTCTTCAAATCTCTTTAAGGTGGATGATTTTGAGCTGTTTCTCGAAAGTTGGAGTGCGGAGAATTGCTCGCTATCGATGAAAAACTGTAGTGGTAATGTAGCAGATGATGAATTATCAGCTGCATGTTCAGTGATATCAAGTGGTAAGAGAGACAGCTATTTATACATAAATAAAAAAAGTGTCTGGCGGGATTCGTACTTGCAACCTCTTGCTATCAAGGCGAGTGTCATACCCATTAGACCACGACAACCTATGGGGTATACATATTCCCAGGCACTTTCATTCATAAAACTGATTGCAACGCTCACACATAATGGAGCTATAAATGAGCTAGAAAAGCTTGTGGGTCGCAGCTTGGAAATAGTAAATTATATTAAAATTAACAGTGCTTAAATTGGAACAAGATGTTACAGTCATATCAAGCATAGCCCTTAAACAGCTTATAGGTTGTCGCCATGCTTGATACTGTTATAACATCTTGTTCCTATTCAAGCACTGTTACGGTAACCTATGCCTTAAAAATGACGGTATTAAGCCGCACGGTCGTCGGCCAACTTGATTCTATGCAGAACGCAGCACAATGACGCACATGCAACAGATCGTTTTCCATAATGATCCATCCAGACAATCAGCAAACAGAATCACAGGGAGCAGAGTCGGATTCGTCATGGCGATTATCGTACGACGGGAGTGCCCTGCTTGCGGGTGTACCAAATTTTTCTATCATCTATAGCCATAAAATTTTGTACCTCAAGCTAATCATGGTTAGGCTGCTGTAAAAATCATAAACAATGAAATTTATTTTACAGATGCGTTTGCGGACTGTCACTCTCTTGTGCCCTTTGAACCGTTCCTGGACAGTTGTCTATATGATGTCTGCGCAAGTGGTGGAAGCACTGGAAACTGCAGCGTGATCACAGCATACCAACAGGCATGTACGCAATATGGTATTACAGTTGGTGAATGGAGAACTGATGGAAGCTGTGGTAAGACAGAGTTATTATATAAATTAATTAATATATTAATTAATTAGAGTTAATATATTATATTTTTTGTTGTGTTAGCTTGAAATTTGGCATTATACTCCAGGTTTCCAATTTATCAAACAATTTTAGCAAGGCTGAGGGTAACTTATAATCCTGGTTTCCAATTTATCAAGCATTTTTAGCAAGGCCGAGTGTAACTTATGACTAAAGGAGACAGCACACAAAAGTCAGAAGTCATATTAACAGTGGGGATCAATTCCCTACTAAAGACTTAACTGATTTATTTGGAAATGGATATAGGTTATCTTGCACACAAGAATTTCTTTTTTTGGCCTAATGGAATTGAATTGGGCACTGAGGGTATATGAGGATCTCCATATTTCAACACACACACACACACACACACACACACACAGAGTAGCTATCAACATTTTTATAGCTGAGTAACCTAAACCGCTCTCTCTATTCTCTCAATAAGATTTTGAATGTGGAGGTTACTCGGAATATTCTGCTTGCGAGGACCCTTGTGTTAGGACTTGTCCAGTCTCTCAACCAGTTCCTGAATACTGTGATCTGCCTTGCTTAGAAAGCTGTGTCTGCGAACAGAACTACATCCTCAATAATGGCGCATGTGTACCAGTAGAAGACTGCGGATGTGTGTACGAAGGAAACTACTATCCAGTAAGTATTATTCTAGTCTACCCAAGAAAATATATGAATGAATCTGTTATGAATTCTACTTGTTAATTTTACAGCGAACTTTCATTTAAAAAAAAATTATTTTATTATTATTATAGTTGAAAGCAAATTATATTTACAAATTGAATTACAATTATCAAAATTAAAATTTGATTATTATAATTAACATTTATTATTAATTAAAATTACATCAAAAATATGTACATAATCTTAAAGAAATGAAATGGCAGATCTAGGGGTTGAAGAGGGTTAATGTGAAAAAAAAAGGTCACTCGTTTTGTTCATGTGCTTCTCGTGTTATATAAACGTTTAGTAAGCTACACTTGTAAAACATACACTTTCTATTTTATGCTTAACTTTTTTCAGATGCCATCTACAAGCATCTAGCCGTCTACTAATTATAAGTCTCAATGAGAGGGGACTCCCCCTTCTCAAAACCACCCGCACTCGGTGCTTTGTACCTCACATTATCCAACCCCAATTGCTAAATTTTTCTTATAAATTGTACTTGGCAAAATAATTTCTTTTTATTATATATTTGTATATTTTTATGGGCAAGTCGATAAATGTATCTATCTATCAATACTATTCACACCATTTCCAGTGTTCTCCCAATTGAATAATTTTTACTGGTAGATTTGTTCCAATAAAGCCAGCTTAGCACACACAAAGTGAGGTATTGCCTCTTTTAAGATGAGTTCAATGACTTTAAAAAAACAACAATACATATAATCATAGCCTAAGCCTGGACTGGAACAGTGAAATGATGTTCATTTTGTAAAGAAACCCAGCTAGGCTACCTAGACCTATTAGTGGTTTTTTTTATTCTACCAACACACAATTTTTACTGGTTGGTCAGTTATTTTTACTGGTAAAATTGACGGCTAACACGGCTTCTGGAGAACACTGATTGCCAATGTTTTAATGTAATTTAATTCTTTTTAAGGAAAGCACATTCTTACTCTCAACTTGTGTTGAATGCACATGTGGTGATGGGAATGCCATGTGTGGCAATGAATCAGTCTGCCACGTGAATGCATCGTGTCTTATTGACGACAAAAAACCGGGATGTTATTGTAATGAAGGCTATGAAGGAGATGGCTTAAACTGTTTAGGACCAGGTATTTCACCTCTCCACTCTCCACTATCAAGGTTCATGTAACATAGTCATGTCACAGCCCATATATGGGTATGATATGATCCATCATGCCCATATATGGGTATGATATCATCTATCATATCATATATGGGCCTGATATGATTTATCATGCACATATATGGGTACAATATGATCCATCATGCACACATAAGGGTATGATATCATCCATCATGCCTATATATTGGTATGATATCACCCATCATGCCTATATTCAGGTATGATATCACCCATCATGCCTATATTCAGGTATGATATCCTCCATCATGCCTATATATGGGTATGTCACATCAAACTTGACAGTGTTAAGATGCATTTAAAATTGTTAAATTTTTTTTTTTAAAGTTGGTCTACTGCAGCATATTTAGCTGTCTTTGAATAGTAGCAACAGAGACAGACTCATCTCTTGACCCATCCATATGTTATGCTATCTTTTTTGTTATTTACTTTATTTATTTATTTATTTAATCTAAACAATGATACCCGGGATAGGCATTCCTAAGAAACTATGTTTAATATATACACGGATTCAAGACTGGCACTTATTTTAACATCTACTGTTTATTTTATTCGATCAACAGTCATTTAATTATGAAAAAAAAGATACTGCTTCTAAATTGAGAGTACTCAAGTGTACATACAGTGACAGGCTGTACTTTTTGTGCTATAGTTCATATAGAATTATTTTCAAAATGTTTTTTTCTCAGACACGATAGAACCAGAAATTACATGTCCTACAAATGTTACATCTGAAAACTTTACTCCGGAAGTAAAGGCCGGTTTTCTAACAGTTTCAACTGATGAGGGTAAGGATTATGCAACTGTGACATGGAACCCACCAATTGTCAGCGATAACCGCAACGGAACAATTAATGTGACCGTGTCACCTTATCAATCAGGAGACAGGATTGCTGATACGGTTAATAAGATTACCTTAACCTTCACTGCTACCGATGAAGCTGGAAACTCGGCATCTTGCGATTTCTGCTTCTTCATACTCGGTGAGTTTACAAGAAAAGAAATACCTCTTTAATCCAATAATAATTACCCGATAAATTATCTAAAAAAATTCCTGTACAAGAGATTGCAACCAAGTCACAATTATTCAATATACAGTATATCCCATTCAAATGTAATATTGTCAGATTATGGTATTATGGAGTAGCAAAAAAGCTATGCAAATGAGCCAAGAACAAAGCTGCCGCTGTGCGTGAAGAACGCGTTGCCTTTGAAGTCTAATGTGTTACCCACCAAAAGATGCTCAGTGGGGTTTTCCCAATAAATAGTACTTGGCGAAATGGAGATCACCTTGTTTTCTCAATGCGCACTACTTACAGTAAATCACTGTGGCTGCTCAGTTGTTTCCACCTTAAAGCTAATACATTTATCTTTTAAAAATTACCAAACATATTAATATTTTCTATGAAAAAGAATTTCAAATTTAATGAAACATTTACATGAGCTTTTAAAAGTTTGGTATATTTTAACCTAATTTCCATAAATTTGATAAAACTCGATATTTCTTATATTAATTAAGGAATGATTGAGGATTATAATGAACTAAGTCATTTTAATGTGAACAAGTGTGGACTATTCGAAAATTCAATCCAAAACCAGATTAATTTTCAGTTTTATGCTGCCTCCGCTTTATATTCAACCAAGTCAACTGTTAGACAAAATGATAATGAACACAAAATTAATTGCAACAGTAATATTTTGCGGAATCTGTTCTTGAAATATACACATAATAACATACTAGAAGTCAGATGGAACATTGTTAATTTTAAAGATATTTAATGAGTTAACATCAAACAGTTTATCATACAACTGCTGTGTTGAAATTTATAAAAGCCTGTTGTTGCCAAGTTGTTGCTAAGGAAAAAATTATTAATATTAAGGTACATGCCCGTGCGCAATCTAAAGGTGGGGAACACATTGATTAGTTACGTCAAAGGATCTGTTGCTGAGTCTTTCTCAATAATACCTCCATTGTTAGATTTATGTAGCGCATTTTATACTGAAGTCTTAAAGCGTTCCACGTGTGGTCGAGCGTACAGTATCTTGCTTCTCCCCTAAGAGTCACTTAGTGTTTGAGTTACTCAGTGAACCAATACCAGCTACTTTCTTTTGACCACAGGAGTGACACCCTACTCACCCCAGGGTGACACCCTACTCATCTCAATAGATGTAATGGGTTCTTCAATGTGCACATGAACCAATTATGTACCCTGGACCTACAGATTATAGTCCTTACCCGAGAAAGTTCACGGTAATTCTTGGTTCCATCCTTCTGTAGTGCCAGATTTATTTTGACCTTCAGAAGCCCAAAATATTATTTAAGATAAATTTATTTCCAAAAATACCAAAAATACTGTATTATTATTATTATTATTATTATTATTATTATTATTAAGCTCAAACCTGGGCTTATATTATGGCTATAAGTTGCAGCATCCTTGTTTTAATCACTTGGCCATTTTGACTTGCCTAAATGCAGTATTGTTGAACTTGCCTAAGTCGAATCCAAAATTGCATTGAAAAATTATTTGACTTTAGTAAGATTTGACTTACAGATCGTTAATATTAACACAACAATTTAGCTTGTAAAATAAGATCGACTTAAAAATTATTCAAGTTAGGCAAAGTCGATGAGTCACACATCATTATTGTAAATTTTTATCTTTTCAGATGATGAACGACCAAATATAGAATGTCCTGAATTGATTGAGAGGACTGCACTGTCTGGAAATAACAACGTTAGCATTAACTATGACATTGTCGTCAGTGATAATGTGCTAGTCTCTATGTTAAATTCTAATTACAGTGACCTTTCAATTGCCAGCAGTGCCCTTGGCTACTTTGTGGATGAAAAATTAGAAACCATCCCAACAACAGGAATTTTTCCTGTTGGTGAAACCGTTGTGATGTACATTGTCTCGGATACCCGCAGCCCAGTTGCTAATATGAATAATTGTTATGTAACTGTTGTAGTTACGGAAGGTAGGTGTGTGTTTTTCTTTTGTCCTGTGGCTATTTTTACCCCATACGTAAATGCAACTCCTTTTTTTTTTCTCTTCGTATGTTTTTCTTTTTGTTCTTTTGTCATGAAGAACTAGATTCAGGAGAATAAATGTATGATTAAATTGACTCAAATTTATTTTGACCTCCTGAAGCCCAAAACATTTTTTTACGATGAATTTATTTCCTAAAATATATTCAGTTGAATTTTTTTTCGTTAAATGGCTAACCTGTTAGGGACCATACTATCTAGATTTTATAATGTTTTGTATATTGATCTAACCTTTGATTAGAATGTTGATAACTGTGTACTAGTTTGTGTCTTTGCCCATTGAAAAATAATACTATGGAATGGATTTTAGTGTGATTCAATGTGAAAACAATTATATTTGTATATCAAACTTATGCGTGAAGTACTTAAGCTTAAAATCAGCATATACAGTACTCTCATCTAGAGGGTAAGTAAAGGTAAAGGTAGGAGAATAACCCATTATAACTTGCAGCGTCATTGTGCTGAATTGTGTATGGGTGTCGTCCGTGACTACCTAGCGGCCGTAAAGAGGTGCTAATGGTAGCTTACATGTTCACATCATTTAACAAAGACAGGTGCTGAAATGAACCATAACATTTGGGTAACCCCCCTACTCTTCCGAAAGATGCAATGAGCCAGATGTATACACTGTACCTCCAATTTAAATCCTTATCCGAGAAGACTTGGTTCTGCCAGCCAAGCCAAGGGCGAGTACGTTTAATTTTAAATTTTATTTGTGATAGGAAACAATTTGTAAAAAATGCCTATATATTGGTATGATATCACCCATCATGCCTATATTCAGGTATGATATCACTCATCATGCCTATATTCAGGTATGATATCACCCATCATGCCTATATATGGGTATGTCACATCAAACTTGACAGTGTTAAGATGCATTTAAAATTGTTAAATTTTTTTTTAAAAAGTTGGTCTACTGCAGCATATTTTAGCTGCCTTTGAATAGTAGCAACAGAGACAGACTCATCTCTTGGCCCATATGTTATGCTATCTTTTTTGTTATTTACTTTATTTATTTAATCTAAACAATGATACCTGGGATAGGCATTCCTAAGAAACTATGTTTAATATATACACGGATTCAAGACTGGCACTTATTTTAACATCTACTGTTTATTTTATTCGATCAACAGTCATTTAATTATGAAAAAAAAGATACTGCTTCTTAATTGAGAGTACTCAAGTGTACATACAGTGACAGGCTGTACTTTTTGTGCTATGGTTCATATAGAACTATTTTCAAAATGTTTTTTTCTCAGACACGATAGAACCAGAAATTACATGTCCTACAAATGTTACATCTGAAAACTTTAATCCGGAAGTAAAGGCCGGTTTTCTAACAGTTTCAACTGATGAGGGTAAGGATTATGCAACTGTGACATGGAACCCACCAATTGTCAGCGATAACAGCAACGGAACAATTAATGTGACCGTGTCACCTTATCAATCAGGAGACAGGATTGCTGATACGCTTAATAAGATTACCTTAACCTTCACTGCTACCGATGAAGCTGGAAACTCGGCATCTTGCGATTTCTGCTTCTTCATACTCGGTGAGTCTACAAGAAAAGAAATACCTCTTTAATCCAATAATAATTACCCGATAAATTATCTAAAAAAATTCCTGTACAAGAGATTGCAACCAAGTCACAATTATTCAATATAAAGTATGCAAATGAGCCAAGAACAAAGCTGCCGCTGTGCGTGAAGAACGCGTTGCCTTTGAAGTCTAATGTGTTACCCACCAAAAGATGCTCAGTGGGGTTTTCCCAAGAAATAGTACTTGGCGAAATGGAGATCACCTTGTTTTCTCAATGCGCACTGCTTACAGTAAATCACTGTGGCTGCTCAGTTGTTTCCACCTTAAAGCTAATACATTTATCTTTTAAAAATTACCAAACATATTAATATTTTCTATGAAAAAGAATTTCAAATTTAATGAAACATTTACATGAGCTTTTAAAAGTTTGGTATATTTTAACCTAATTTCCATAAATTTGATAAAACTCGATATTTCTTATATTAATTAAGGAATGATTGAGGATTATAATGAACTAAGTCATTTTAATGTGAACAAGAGTGGACTATTCGAAAATTCAATCCAAAACCAGATTAATTTTCAGTTTTATGCTGCCTCCGCTTTATATTCAACCCAGTCAACTGTTAGACAAAATGATAATGAACACAAAACTAATTGCAACAGTAATATTTTGCGGAATCTGTTCTTGAAATATACACATAATAACATACTAGAAGTCAGATGGAACATCGTTAATTTTAAAGATATTTAATGAGTTAACATCAAACAGTTTATCATACAACTGCTGTGTTGAAGTTTATAAAAGCCTGTTGTTGCCAAGTTGTTGCTAAGGAAAAAATTATTAATATTAAGGTACATGCCCGTGCACAATCTAAAGGTGGGGAACACATTGGTTTGTTACGTCAAAGGATCTGTTGCTGAGTCTTTCTCAATAATACCTCCATTGTTAGATTTATGTAGCGCATTTTATACTGAAGTCTTAAAGTGTTCCATGTGTGGTCGAGCGTACAGTATCTTGCTTCTCCCCTAAGAGTCACTTAGTGTTTGAGTTACTCGGTGAACCAATACCAGCTACTCTCATCGACCACAGGAGTTGTATGAACTAATGCACCGGGGTGACACCCTACTCATCTCAATAGATGTAATGGGTTCTTCAATGTGCACATGAACCAATTATGTACCCTGGACCTACGGCTTATAGTCCTTACCCGAGAAAGTTCACGGTAATTCTCGGTTCCATCCTTCTGTAGTGCCAAATTTATTTTGACCTCCAGAAGCCCAAAATATTATTTAAGATGAATTTATTTCCAAAAATACTGTATTATTATTATTATTATTATTATTATTATTATTATTATTATTATTATTATTATTATTATTATTATTATAATAATTATTATTATTAAGCTCAAACCTGGGCTTATGTTATGGCTATAAGTTGCAGCATCCCTGTTTTAATCACTTGGCCATTTTGACTTGCCTAAATGCAGTACTGTTGAACTTGCCTAAGTCGAATCCAAAATTGCATTGAAAAATTTTTCGACTTAGGTAAGATTTGACTTACAGATCGTTAATATTAACACAACAATTTGGCTTGTAAAATAAGATCGACTTAAAAATTATTCAAGTTAGGCAAAGTCGATGAGTCACACATAATTATTATAAATTTTTATCTTTTCAGATGATGAACCACCAAATATAGAATGTCCTGAATTGATTGAGAGGACTGTACTTCCTGGAAATAACAACGCTAGCATTAACTATGACATTGTCGTCAGTGATAATGTGCTAGTCTCTAGGTTAAATTCTAATTACAGTGACCTTTCAATTGCCAGCAGTGCCCTTGACTACTTTGTGGATGAAAAATCTGAAACCATCCCAACAACAGGAATTTTTCCTGTTGGTGAAACCGTTGTGATGTACATTGTCTCGGATACCCGCAGCCCAGTTGCTAATATGAATAATTGTTATGTAACTGTTGTAGTTACGGAAGGTAGGTGTGTGTTTTTCTTTTGTCCTGTGGCTATTTTTACCCCATACGTAAATGAAACTCCTTTTTTTTTTCTCTTTGTATGTTTTTCTTTTTGTTCTTTTGTCATGAAGAACTAGATTCAGGAGAATAAATGTATGATTAAATTGACTCAAATTTATTTTGACCTCCTGAAGCCCAAAACATTTTTTTACGATGAATTTATTTCCTAAAATATATTCAGTTGAATTTTTTTTCGTTAAATGGCTAACCTGTTAGGGACCATACTATCTAGATTTTATAATGTTTTGTATATTGATCTAACCTTTGATTAGAATGTTGATAACTGTGTACTAGTTTGTGTCTTTGCCCATTGAAAAATAATACTATGGAATGGATTTTGGTGTGATTCAATGTGAAAACAATTATATCTGTATATCAAACTTATGCATAAAGTACTTAAGTTTAAAATCAGCAAATACAGTACTCTCATCTAGAGGGTAAGTAAAGAGTAAAGGTAAAGGCTGTCTCTTATACACATCTAGATGTGTATAAGAGACAGATCCTGTGTGGATCAAAACAATAAGTGCACAATCCTATGTGAATCACAAATAAAAAATGAAGTATGCAGTATCCTGTGTGGAACTGAATGTGTGAACAGTACCCTGAAGAGTTCTGTTGCAGGAAATAAGCTTTTCAGTTATGAGTAGCACGGGACTAACTTCGAACCCCCAACGGGAAAATCCTGGAGCAACCCCTATATTCAGCGTATTTTCAAAGGTTGGAGAGTAGGAGAATAACCTATAATGCGTAGAGTCATTGTGCCTAATTATGAGCGTGGTGTACGTGATTACCTAGCGGCCGTACAGA